TATTCAATTATTTTGAAAAACAAATTTTACATCTCTGGCTCACAGCATGGGCTTCCTCGTAGCATGTGGCAGTTTCCTTAGAGAACCAGTTGAAATTGCAAGACATTTTTATGATCCAGACTGAATAGACACAAAGCGTCACTTCTGACATATTCTATTGGTCACAGCAGTAACAAAGTTCTACCCAAGTTTAAGCGGGGAAATCACAGCTCACCGCCTCAAGAGATGATGTCAAGGTCCCATTGTAAGAAGATAAGATGAAAAATATGGTTGTGACAATCCTTGGAAAATACAATGTGTCACACATCCCAATTTCCAAGATGTTACATACTGAAAAATGTGCACTTTGAAATCAACAAAATACAGTAGTAATTTACGGTTCTTAAGCAGGAGGGGCAAAATCTTTTTTCTAAGATAAAACATAAATGTTTACCTAAACAAGTGAGTCATTCATTAATCACTTTAACAAAACCCCTCTTTTAAAACTACATGCATAAGAGCATGTTGTGCAGACATCCCCCGCCTTTTTTTTTTTTCCAAGACCGAGTCTTGCTCTATCACCCAGGGTGGAGTGCAGTGGCACGATCCCAGCTCATTGCAACCTCTGTCTTCTGGGTTCAAGCAATTCTCCTACCTCAACCTCCCGAGTAACTGGGATTACAGGTGCCAGCCACCATGCCCAGCTATTTTCTTTTGTATATTTAGTAGAGACGTGGTTTCACCATGTTGGCCAGGCTGGTCTTGAACTCTTGCCCTTGTGATCCACACATCTCAGCCTCCTAAAGTGCTGGGATTATAGGCATAAGCCAATATGCCTGGCTGATATTTTTATAGTTAAGAAAAATAGGTACTGACATAAGAGCAGTTTCTTATAAAAGCTTGTGGATTCAACTGTAAAAATGGCAATCCATTCTGACTCCCCTGTCCACTGCAGGGAGCTTTCCTATTTTGCTTATTAAACTTTTGCTTCAACCTCACCCTCCCGTGTCCACATTCCTTCATTTTCTTGGTCATGAGACCATGAGTTCAGATAACACCTTAGATAATGATATCAGTGACCCTGACCTGCTTTGGTAACACCAGCTCTGGGACCAGGACATGGAGACACTCTCAGGAAGATAACTGAAATCTGTCCAAGTGGTATACAAATTCATCCTTTCACAGACAAATCTCTGACCATTCTCTCTCTTAAATTTCTAAAATTTTACATTCATTGTGATGAGAATCAACGTTTGGTCCATTTGAAAGGATACGCACAAATTTTGCCAATGCTAATATGGTTCACCAGAAAAATCCATGTGGCATATATTAAGAAAGCACATAGAGGATCTACATGGACAGGGTTTTCGTAATTACAGAAAAACGGGAATTAATTGTGTGAGTATCTTTACGTGAAGGCCAGGAGAAAAACAGGTTACTGGAAGCCTATGTAAATGTACTTATAATTTAAAACTAACTTATTTACTCAGGAAAAAATATATTTCTCACCCCACCTGTTAAGTTCTTAGGAAAGTATAACCTTAATAATCTCCTAATGCCCGGAGTTATTTTTCTTCTCTGGACCTCATTCCCTCTCACATTGTATTGAAATGAATAAATGAATTGCAAGTAAATAGTGGGGCACAGTAAGCTCTAAGAGCTGACAGCCTCTGGTCCACTTACTACCTTTATAAAAACCTTGGTATGTACATAGGTCATGTCATCTATAAAACTAAGGTAATAATAACAATCACATCTCCCTAATAAAATGGTTTTGATGATTAAGTGGAATATAGTGAAATTTTAAAAAATGCTTTCTATTATAACCAATTTGGCTAGGATAGGTGGAAAGAACAGAAATATACTAAAATAATTTTGAAATACATAATATATATTTATGGGACATTGACATCAAGTTAAAAAATATAGAATCCACCATAACAGGGTAATCAACATTTTTAGAAAGTCAAATCAAGCTGAAGTCTCAGAGACTATTATGCTTATTTGCTAACTGTACTATCAGAATGCTTCACTGATACAATGAATACAGTAATTTTTCCAATTCACATAAGCTGCCAGACAAGCGACTCAATGCAATTCACTCACTCTCTGAGAAGTTTATCCACTCTGTCAATGTTCATCTTTCCTGGCAAATCATCCTTTAGTATTCTAAGCAAACTAGAGCAAGGTGAAGTTGAAGAATGCCTCAGCAAAATGAAGTTGAAGAATGCCCAGCCATGCCTCCAATCAATTCTACTTTCTGTCCCATTCAGAGAGCTTCCGGGTCTTCAAAAAAGAGGGAGGCATTAGGATGTGAAAGTGCTGAGGTATGAGATTTGGATCTTTTCCTAAGTCCAGAAGGAAACACAGGGGTTTTGAAGCGCCGGGTGATATGACTTAATTTCTACTTTTAAATACTCACTCTGACTGTTGTGAGGGAAGTGATATGGGATGTGCTGGGGGAAGAATCTCACCAAGACCAGCTGCAGGCTGTTAAAGTCCTCCAGGAGACAGCATCATGGGCTGAACAATCACCTTCCAGTCAACAACATACAAGTGGTCATATTTGGGACATATTTTGAAGATAGAGGCAATTAGATCTAGTAATGGGTAGTGCCTGAGGGATGTGAGAATTTTTGAACGACTACTAGGTAAACGCCTGTCAGTGACCGAGAAAATGCTGGGATGTGTTATGAGAGAGTAATCCTAAAATTTCCTTTGTTGAAGACTGACCCTTCGGGACCTCAGAATATGAACATCCATATAGAAGGCAAGTAGAGTGCTGAGGGCTGCCACTCACCTCTAGGTGCCCCAACCCTCGCAGCAGTCCTGCTTCTCCCTTCCACCCACCCTCACTCACAAACAGTGTCCCTTTCAGCTCTTCCATTATCTCTGTATTTGATCTCTATGGTGAGTTCACAGCTGAGAGGTAAGGGTTCCTTATACACTAGTCTCTTTTGCTGATTGCTGACATTAGAGGAGGTCAGGGAACAGGCCTGAGCTGAGTGACCTTTAGGGGCATTACCTGTTCTTTTCCTGTACTCTCCTACTAAGGAGAAACCTTTCTTGCACCAGGCCTGCAGCTTCCTTAGTTGCCCACATTATCAGGCAATACCTGCCTGGCACTCCTCTTTGTTCCTTTATTCTGACCTTCCTTTTTGATATGATGGTTGACCTGAAGTCACCTAGGCAGGACTGCTCATCTCCAGGCCCTGTGGAAAACAGTATCTGGTGAAACTAGAGACAATAATCCCAGTAACATAGCGGGAGCTGCTGGAATCAAACAGTTACTCTGTCCCTAAGATACAACTCAGAAAGCCTCGCTAGAACGGACCCACTTCCTACAGTGCCAGAGAAGAACTGCCAATTAAGAATGTAATCCCTCTTCAAATATGTCTATTTCATTCAAGGGAAAATACCAATCTGCCTGGGTCTCTTAGAAGAACAATGTTGTCTGTAGCAAAATCTAATCTATTAGGAAGCCTTCCTGTATTATTATCTGCAACTCTTCAGAAGGGCCAGACCAGACCCTCCTATGCACAGCAGAGGATCCACTCAGGCACACCTGTCTAGGGGCTTGTCTTTATGACTTCCTGTCAAATGGCCTCCCAGCCATGCCTCCAACTAAGCTATCCTCAACCTAAAAGTAACCATATACAAAAAGCAAAAAATTACCCAGGTCTGAAATGGTTGCTGGCAACTGGTGATACTGACTAGTATATTTTATTGAATTGATGAACAGGAAATTTCTAAGTATTATGGAGCAATCCAAGCTGAGAAGAGAGCTACCAATCCAGGACACTGAAAGCGCTTTTTGGAAACTTAATAGTTTATTGTTCAACTGTACAGACAAAAGTGAAAATAAAGATAGTGAGGAGTACCATACACCATTATTTAGAAGATTAAAGGACATCTTTCAAAAGTCATGTGGGGGAAAAACATAACAGATATAGGAAGAAAACTACATGTGGCAAAGTAGTCTCATTAAGTATCAACAAATAATTGCCAGAAATAAAGTGAGAAAGAATGAGTATTAAAATATTATAGAAAAAATCATCTGTGTGAAATGACACTCTGATGAAACAGGTGACGTAAATACTGAGTAAAAAACAGAAGCCCAATCACTGCAGTTGAGGCTTGGATAAGCATATCAAATAATCTTAGTTGAATGTGAAATTGTGGTCACTTAATTATCAGTGGTGGGGAACACAATATTTCTTGGGGTAAATGAAGCAGAGGATGAATTCTATAGAATATTCTGGAGAAAGTGGAGGTCTTAGCTATATGACATCACATGGCTAACTGAGGGAACCACATTTCAGTTTGTTCAGGTTTAGAAATTCCTTGGTGGTTTCTGTGTTCAGTTTTGCTTTAATAATCCCTAAAGATATTTATAAAATGCAATTATTTAGCTTTCCTGTGTTGTACAGAGCCAAGGCTTGCCTGAGTGGATTGAGATCCACAGAAGCTTGGACAATTCCTGTAGCCTGAGCAGGCTGCTGAGCAGTTTTCTGTCTTCTGTGTGTGCCCAGGAGTGTGCTGTGTCCACACATCTCACAGATAAGCAGAGACCATCTCTACTACATGAAAAGTGTAGCTAAATGTGACAATATCCATACACACACGTTGTGAGAGATGGAATCGGCTATAAAATGAGTCAGAGACATTGACTATCTTCACTGTTAGCTGTAGGATTGCTACCTATCACCCTCGACACACACACACACACACACACACACACACACACAGAGAGAGAGAGAGAGAGAGAGAAAGAGAGATAGAGAGAGACGAAAAGCACAGTGGGAAGCAGAATAGCAGTCTACCAAACAGATTGAAACTAAACGATATCTAAAGTTCAATTCTGACACTGTGTTGATTGATTGCTTGGACACAGTTCGGTCAACACCTTTGTCCAAGTTATACTTGTACATTTTAGAAATTTAATTAACACAGCATTCTACCCAACCCTTCCTGCTGGGCTAGAATCCCAAAAGAAGTGAGGGATACACTTGACCTGAAGTAAGCAAAGCAGAACCCAGTCTCGGAGGTGATGAGATATACCCAGTAGGGAGCTCAAATGTGCCATTGTTCTGCTTGTCTTTATAAAGGGAGCTGCCATGTTTTCTCCCAGCACAAAGCTGGGAGCAACACCAGAGCCTCCTGCAAGATGCTTGTGATTCTGCTGTCAGTGGCCCTGCTGGCTGTGAGCTCAGCTCAGAGCGTAAGTGAAGGTAAGACAAATTGGGGCAAGATCTTGTGACTCTGACTGGGGTTTAGAAGCTCACGCTATAGAGGGGGATAGTGAAGGGAAGAGAGGAGGCTGAGAAAACAGATGGCACTGTGGAGTTCTCATGCCAAGGATCAGAAGACCTGTTGTGCCCTCATTCCTCAGCAAGACCTCATAATTTATTTCACAAATAGAACCCAATAAATAATTTGTGCCAGGGGAGAGAGAGAGAGTGAGATTTGCATTTATAGAGACATGGGACTGCCGTGAAAGATGCAATGGAGAATGCAAGACAGGTTCAGGGAAGTCCAGCTGTGAAGATCCTGTACTGTTCTCAGTATACAGGGATGATGCTGGCCTTGCTGTACAGTGGATCAGCATCAGTGAAGAATATAAACAAATATGAGACCTACTGCAGAGACAGAGAAATGGGTAAAACATTGTCTCTGTCTACAGAGAGAGAGAATAATCAGAGTGAAGCTGTCATTTTTCTCTCCCCTACGTGTAGTATTTCAATGTGCTGGGAATGGCATGTGTAGGATTGTATGTATCCAAATGGTTTTTCCTGGTGGCCCTTATTGAGAAAGCTCGCAAACATCAGCAACATGTTTATAGAAGAGGGCAGAAGAATCCCCAAGTATGACATTGACATACTCAGGGCAGTTGAACTAAATAAGCACTAAGGCTTGAGGAATCACAGGGAGACAAAACAGGGGCCCTTGTATGTTGAGTTCCTGGTTGATGCTCAGAATAGTAACAACCCTGCTTCCCCTCACATCTTCCTCCGCTTCCAGTAGCATCACAGACAGTGGCTGATGAGGTCACTTAGGGGATGCGCAGGGTGTGATCAGCAGTCCCTTTTCCTCATAGAACACTATGAGCCCTGAAAGATTCATGAAGTAATTTTCCCATCATCCTGTACTTCTTTTCTAGATGTCAGCCAAGAAGACGTTCCCCCACTGATATCAGGTAAATCCCAATAAATTCTCAGTAAACTTGTCTCCTTTTTTTTTCCTGAAAAATTGATCAATAGTTTGGACGAGGACAGTAAGAGAGTGAGATTTGCATTTGTAGAGACATGGGACTGCTGCAAAGGATGCAGTTCTCCAGTGTCTTCTTATCATGACTTTCTTCTCAGGAATTGACTAATGTTAGTGCCCCCAGAGATAGAAGCAGTTTTCTCCCAACCTTGATTCTGGGGACCATGAGCAAAGCCATTTGATTTTTCATCACCCTCATGTGAATTAAGAGGAGTTCTAATGAGGAAGCCCTGGAAAGGCAGGAGGCTGACAGTTGAAGGCAGGTCAGGGAGACACGGGTCGTGTGGTGAACACAGAGAGGTATGAAGACAGGAGGGTCTTCCAGCACTGAGCTCAGCTCTTCTGGTTTCAGCTCAAGCAGATGAAGGGGGCTCTAACCAGAGCCCAGATGAGGAGAGTCAGGAACCACCTCTTGGAGGACACCCACCTAGGCCCCCTGCTGGTGATGGAAACCAGGATGAGGGTCCTCAGCAGGGACCACCCCCACAAGGAGGCCACCACCACCATGGTCCACCACCTCCTCCAGGACAGCCACAAGGACCACACCCACAGGGAGGCCACCACCACCACGGTCCACCACCTCCTCCAGGAAAGTCACAAGAACCACACCCACAGGGAGGCCACCACCACCGTGGTCCACCACCTCCTCCAGGACAGCCACAAGGACCACAGCCACAGGGAGGCCACCACCACCACCATGGTCCACCACCTCCTCCAGGACAGCCACAAGGACCACCCCCACAACAGGGGCAGCCTCCCCAGTAATCTAGGATTCAATGACAGGTATGATTCCAGTTTAAACTCCATCAAAGGCCCCAACTACTACAGTTCCCCAGCTTCATTGTGTCAATGAATCCACTGAAAGCCTGTTAATATTGCCTTGTCCAGGAACACATTTCTAAAGATTTTTGTTCAGATAGTCTGGGGTAGGGTAGCAAGACCTTGTTTTTAAGCAATCGCTTGAAGGCAGTTCTGATTTTGAGAATCACTGTCTTCAAATTACCTCTCCTATGAATGGTTGACAATGAGGACTTAGAACCATGTTCTCCGTCTGGCACTCTGTCTTCTTTCCTTAAACTCAAAGACCTCCCATTTATTTAAAGTTCCTGCCTGAACACTCCTTGCTCAGTCCTGCCTGACACCAGCCTTTCAAGTCCAGTATGGCTGCTAAATGGTCCTTGGACTTTCAGCTTTTAAGTGGTATCTCATTTTTTAAAATACATTTAAAGCCATGCATGCTTAAGCTAACAAAAACTAATCTCGCTGAACAGAACATTTTTTACTCTGTGGATTCTTCTTTTTGAAATATTTATTGCTACATAAATACATATAATGCCTTTTTTTTCCCACCACTGATACCAGACTTTATATTCAGATCTTTGTCTTACTCATTAGAAAAATTTATTTCTTAGAAAACTTCCACATGAGCTCATTTAGATCTCTTCAGTGTTTATCAGTTAGTTTGGCTTTACAATTGTATACCATGCTATTGTTTGGTTGTTCCATAATTTATTTAACCAATCCATGTCACTGGACACTGAGGTTGGTTTCACATTCTCGCTATTACAGGATATGTTGCCGTGCCCATCTTTGTAAAAAATAACCCTTAACATATGCAACAGCCACAAGGCACGGACAGCCTAACAATAATCATTTCTCTTCCTTATTGAAGCAATAGTTTAAAGCACTTTACGTGCAATGGTATAAAAAGTGTGAACAAAGAAAATATTACTAAGGAGAGGGGGCACTGTACAAGGGACAGAGGGCAAGAGAATGGGCTGGCATCTCCCTCACTGCAGTGACACTGGTGAGGGATTAGACATTTCCTGCCATGTCAGGTCTTGTCTATAATCTTCCTTGTTTGTCTTTTTCAGGAAGTGAATAAGAAGATAACAGTGTTTCAAATGCCATGAAATACAATGTGGTCATGCTCTAGCTTCAATATACCAATAAAATAATTAGCTTGCAATTTCTGATTGCGGTGTCTCTTTCTGAGTGTTTGGGAGTCTGGAATCTGAGATCCATGTGCGTGTTGTATGAACATCCAGGACCCCTTCTCCTTGATGTTTCCAGCAAGCGTCTCTCCTCCTTGTCCTAATTAAGTCATCTTCCTGGAGAAGGAGTTCCACTGTTTCTTTCCTTCTCTGTCTTCTATAAAACAGTCAGAAAATATTTTAGAAATTGATGGTTTTATAATGAAACAGGGAGTATTGAAAATAAATTAAGTAAGCAATAAGCTCAAATAATTTAAAAAGAGAGAAAATGTACTTGGGAGAGCAGAAATAAGAATTAATGAAAATTAAAAATATTAAATAAATAAGAAGAAATGATTCATAAGTTTTGTACTAATAGTAATAACTTCTTGAAAGTCCAATGAAATTCACAGACATCTATGAAAATAATCTTCAGAGTAATCAGGTAAAGCCTAAACAAGTGTTTTAAAAATGATTTTTTTCTACATTCTGAAAAGCAAACATGAAAAACAACACAGTTTTTACAGATATACAACACAGAGTGACTTATATATAAAATGACCTTAAAAACATATTAAACATGTTATAGTACTTAATATCTAAGTAAAATATTGTGAAATTTAACAGAGAATTCAATCCTCCCAAAAGTACCTTCATGGGAGATTCCTCAACTAACAGGCAGTCCTTTAATATGATGATTTATGCAAAATATTGAAAGGAAGAGAAATATCCAAAAGTCTTGAAAGAAAAAAATAATTTTGATATGACAACTCTAACAAAGGTAATAACTATAAATCTCACTTTAAAAACTAAATCATTTCAAACAAATTGAAGTGATATATTAGTTAAATGACCAAGCAGACTTGATTCTAGGAATGTTAAGGAATGTTAATTATTTGTTTTGGATAATGGAGTCAGAGGAAAAAAATATATACAATCATCTTGAAAGATGCCAACGTTGTCTTTGATAATATTTAATATATTTTTTAAAAAGCAATTCTTGTAAAATAGTTCAAGTAGACTTCTGACCATGATTAAAATGATTTACCTCAAAGTAACTGCTAACCTTATGTGTATCTGCAACGCACTGAAAAATTATCTAATAAAAAAGTACAGAGGAAAAGCTTATCAATGTGGGTAATTAGAAAGTGTCTTATTTAGCATTAGACAAACAAGTACATAAAAAAAGATCTACATATTCAAATAGAAGGAGTAAAATTATCACCACAAGCAGATCTGTTTTACTATCCAAAAAATAACAAAAGAATCCCCTGAAGTAAAAAGGGAAAGGAAGGAAATCCATTGTAATTAATATAAAATTTAATGCAATATTAAAATTTATAAATAACTGATTAATTCAATTTTTAAAAATTATTTGTGATTACACAATATCCAGCTAGTAAATATTTTAAGTAAGTGATCATTCACAAAGGAACCAAAGGTGTAGCCTTCAAATTTTTAATGCCATTGTGATAGCAACCATCTGATTGTTTTATTCTAATTTATTTCCACTTCTGATTATAAGAACGGCTTCTTTCCAAGTGATGTGTTCCCCCTAGTGGCATATTAGCTTCACCACAGGAGTTTGCAGCTCTGGCTGCTGGAAATTCTTGAACTCAGAAAGTATACATACAAATACATAAGCCAGGTCTAGAAAGTATCTGTGACATGCAAGCTTCATGTTTCAGTGAAGTAAGTTTGCTCTTGCTGTCCTCCTGTATAGAGTTAATTCAATCATTTATTCAATTGTTAGTTGATTAAAAATTTATTGAACTACTCTGTGTCCAGGCTTTCTTTTACATCAGGCTACAAAAGCAGGATTAATCTATGTAATATTTTTTTCATTTGTGTAAAAATTTTAAACATATGCATGCAACTAACATTTAACAGCTGTAGATAAGAGCATTTTTATGATAAATATTTAAAAATCATTCAATATCACACATGGTAGAAGAATCCCAAAAGAAGGACAAAATGCCACACAAGAATTTTTTTTAACATTTCTTTTTTAGATTGCATGAGATAGTCACCAGAATGGTCTATGAATGTGAGGGTTTCCCAGCTTTCCACCAAAGCACCGAAAGAGAGCTACCTTTTGTAGCCTACTGTGTCCCAGAACCAGGATAAGCATTTGCAATAGAGTGGCTAAGCATAAGAGCCTGTTTGTTGTGCATCACCTCAAGAGTGGAAAATCGCTACAAGAAGACACAGAAAGTAAATAGCAAATAATAAGAGGAAAACATCACGGATATCATCACAATATAAGAATATTGGCCTTGACTCTAGGATCTCTGAATTCTATTGCATTGAGCTTCAGATTTTTTAGATATTTCCATAGGGAGATTAACAAGAGAAAAACATTTAAGGATAGAGAAAAGGGTATGAAGGTAAATATAATCAGTTTTACGAAGTTTACAATGTCACTCCTTTCAGAATTTGCAGTGATATTTCTTTCGCATGGATGTACCCAGATATTAAGAAACATGCTTGCCATGGTAAGATTAAAATGGAATGAGACTAATAGACCTAACAATAGGACCAGAATTACAATTTCAACTCTATGCTTCAAGTGAAGAAACGCAGGATTTGAAAAATTGACTATCATGAGAAAATAAAAGAAGGTGAGGCTTCTGGCAAGCCAGATGCTAAAACAATCGGCCACAGTTCCAGTAATAGCAAATATAACGTTCTTTGTACTCATCTGTAAAGATAACTACAGCTCTTCTATATAAACCTTCTCGCCATTATTACCAAAATCAGACAAATTGTGAAGATAGCCAAAGCAGTAAGGATTCGAAGAGCCCTTCTGCACATTGAGCCACTTAATGCAGTTCTCCAGTATAATGAATCTATTCTCTAAAATTCCAATTAGGAATTCTCTATTTATTATTATAGTGAAGAGACTATGTAAGCCATTTAGCATGGCTGCAAAGAAAGAGCTCCAATGCCTAACTGCAATGCTGACAATTCCTTGATCTACCACATGTCCATGGCATACATACTTATTTTGTGATGTACAGTTAATTTCTTCCTTTAAAAAAAAAAAACCATAGGCTCAATATGAAAGCAGAAAGCATAAAGGTGTACTAATGAAAGGCCACATAGCTTTTTTCACAGAAAGATTATTTTGCCCCAGCCAGCTAGCTGCACTCTGATCCAGATATTGTATGTAAAGTGAAATTTCTCACAGTTGATAATGAAAGAAAAAACTGAATTTTCATTTGTTAATAGGCAAATAACAATTCTCTGTCATCATTTTGCACATTTGCTTTATCTAATCTCTACACAATTTGCTCATTAATTTTAATTGTTATCAATGATATTAAAATGCAGTGCATAGAACTTTAACATATAATAAATATCTAAATTAGTAGATGGAGTGTGGTGAGCACTAAAATCATCTCCACTGAGGAATGCTGAGGGAAGACTGAAGGGATATTTTCATAGTTTATCCAAAGATCTTGTAATTCAAAGCATTCAAGTTTCCTAAATGAATCCAGAGAAGCTATAACCCCTAAATGCTGAGTGCTGATAATTTACATTTATTTATCAATGAGTTGTTTGCCAGTGCCTATAAACACATAACTTGCAGAACAAACTCGTGGGATTATTGCCCAGAAGTGACTGCAAGAGCTCAAGAAATCATATGGATTCAAAACCACTGATTTTCTAAGAATTAATTATTTCTTCCTTCATTTATATTTATTCAGCTTCTCCTGTCATTTAAAAAATTAGATATCAAAATATTCTTAAAACATAATTATTCTTGATATTCTCTAATACATAACTGAAAATATCCAGGAAACTTTGAGAACCATTTATAGGGCTTATGAAATCTGATAGAACTCTATATTAATTCCACAAAGCAGTCTCTTAGTTAAAGCCAAATATGGACAATACTGAGAATGCAGATGGCCATCGGCACAGCATGAATAGTCCTAATTTTGTGCTTCTTCACTACTCGGTGTTACCCACTTTCCCATAGTTATCGAAGGCCTTTGGGTTTTATTCAGCTTCTCTACACCTCTGCTGAACGACGTCTGCTCTATGGCTGTTACTCCAAAGTAAGTAAGCACAGGTTTCCTAAACAACATGGTGGACTTAAACTGTAATATATTCTTATTTCTCAAAGAAAATTTTTAAAGCAATAGAGAAGCAATACATTAGCAAAGCCCTATAGAATTGTCAATATTATCCTCGAATTTGGAGGGATCCAGATTGAGAAGTTAAGGAGGCAAAAATAAGAAATTTTAAGGATAGGAAACTTGAAGGATAGAAGCCCCAGCACATGACCCAGGCAGAGGCAGGATGGGCATTACAGGCTTGGATATTGAGCTGAATTTGAGGAATACACCAACCCCCACAATAATGTAAATGAGGTAATAGAGTAGGCTCAAAAACTGAACTTTCATGATGAGGAAACTGAACCGAGGCCCCAGGAAAGGCAAAACTCACCTCAGAGGAGCTCTCTCTGTTATTGCTTTCCTATCACCCACCACACACACATACACACACACACAAACACGCAGGTGCACACGAATACACACACCCCTGCAGCATTCTGCCCTTAAAAACTTACTATTGGGGAAGACAAGCCAGTAAGGTAGATAAGACAACAAGAATTCCTAAATATTTCATTCCAGTAAACATAAGGCCCAGGCTAAGATCAAAAAATAAGAATAGGAAATAATGAGATTTGATTCTTCTAAAGTTGCAAAGAGGAGGTTTCTAAGAATTCATATTTGTCTGCAGTTTTTCCTCCTGCACTGCTTGTGATACGTCACTTGAGGTATACTTGACATGCAATAGGTTGTACATATATAAAGTGCACAAGTTCATGCTCATCACATGTGAAGCCGTCATCACCATAATCAGGTAACAAACATGTATATTACCCCCAAAAGTTTCCTTTACGATCCTGTGTTACTCCTCCTGCTTACAGCTGCCCAGTCTTTATCAAACCCCCAGTTCCCAGGCAACCATGGATCTGCTTTCTGTCAC